GAAGACCAGACCAGTTTTCAGGGAGGTTGCTGGCGAAGGTGCGAAAAGCCTTCTCCAGACCAGCTCCCTGGAAGGCTGCTGGCGCGGATGACAACAAAAGCATAGCATGACAAAGCGACACAGAACATGGCCCCCCTAAAGCCTGAAGCCACAGCCCCTCTCCTTAACATGTGTGCACGTGAGGCCGCGTGGTCCCTGGACAGTGGTGGATCCTCAAGGCTCCATGCCGACGAGGACTCGCAGTCCGGAGTCCTCCAGCACGTACGAGGAAGAAGAGGGCCCGCCTNNCGGCAGCAAAGGCCGTCGCGGCCCACCCTCCAAAGGGCGAAGCAGCAGCTCCCCCAACAGCTCCGGCGGCACCAGCTGAACCGGCGGCACCAGCTCCCCCGGAAGCACCAGCGGATCCAAGACTGGAGGATCTGCAGAGGGTCAGAAAGCAAAGAAGGAAGGCCAAGAAGGCTGAAGAAAAAGCTCGTGCTAAGGAGCAGGAGTACAAGGCCAGAGTGAAGGAGCTGAAAGAAAGGGAGAAGCAAGTGCAAGAAAGGGAGAAAGAGCTCCGTCGCCGCCGAAGCAGGAGCTCATCAGATGATAGCAGACGACGTTCCCCTCGCCCAAGACCTCCAGCTCCAAGCCCTGCAACAAGCAGCAAGCCGACGGGGGAAAGGGCTCGCTTGACTCCTGCCAATGCCTGGTGCTGGTGCCCACGGCATGGGGAACAGCTGTGCCGGAAGTGGGTGCTTTCCCAATGGGCGCTGGTACAGCATCTGAGGTCCAAGCACGGAGTCTCAGAAGAAGCATCCAAGCGTGAAGCTGAAGAGGCCTGGACACGGCAGCTGCAGGATCTGGAGCGATCCCGGTCCCCTCGCTCTCCCGACCTGAGAAGGCCAGCTTCGCCAACAGGGCTGCCGCCGGAGCGGGAGCGGCGATCCCCGTCCTCTGCGCCATCTGTGGCTTACGTGCCTCCAGCAGCAGCGGTCGGCTTGGGTCGTGCTCAGGCCAAGGCAAAGGCAAGCGGCCCGGCGCTGGAGTTGCTCTCCTCCATGTTCAACGTGGCGGACCGCATCCTGTCGAGGGAGCCGTAGAGGCCTTGGTATAATAGGAGCATGCTCCGGAGGGCACCAGATCCTTTGTGCAGGATACGAGGCACCACAATCTGGTGACTCCGTAGCCTCTCGAGTTCCTCACTTGAGTCACCTGTTGTGCTTTAAAAAAAGGTAGGGCAGGGCTTAAGGTTTTAAGGGCTTTCTCCTAAAACCCACACCCCTCAGGCCCTAAACCCCAAAGCCCAGACCCTACACCTCCTCAACCCTAAACCCGACAGCCTAAGCCCGAGACCCCCTAAACCCTGAACCCGAAGGCCCAAAACTTCGACTCGCGACCTGGGCCGGCCAGGCCGCGGAGAGGTCCGGGCCAAGAAATTTTCCAGCCCGGCCAAGAAATTTTCCAGCCCCGGCTGAAAAATTTTTGGCCGGGGCTCGATTCGGAGCGGTAGTTTAGCGGTAATTTCGACTAAATTACCATTCTCGCTGCGGTAGTTTAGCGGTAATTTCG